ATTCATTCATTCATTCATTAGTGACTCAATGACTTATTCATTAAGTCATTTACTGCCACCTACTGGCAGTTTTAGTTTCTTATTCAGAGTATAATTTCATTTAAAAATTATTTACGGTGACGCATTGATGCCACACACATATTTTTTTTTCCACTCAATTATGTCGTAATAACGAGATGTTTTCTCGTTAAAACAACATCTTTTCTCGTAATAACGAGATGTTTTCTCGTTAAAACGACATCTTTTCTCATTAAAACGAAATATTTTTTCTCGTAATAACGACATATTATGTCATAAAAATTATATATTTTCCCGTTATTATAGATATATGGTAGGCTGTATGTGAGCGAGCTAAGCCACTGTCCGCGCTGCTGCCACAGTCTGACATAAACGAGGATCTGCACGCTGCTGAAATTATTGAAATACACTGTTTTAAATGTATTTTTGTGTAATGGTTTTAATTGTAGCTGCATGTTTATTAGGATTAATCTCCAATCTGTCTACAATATAGTGCCATCCAATAACTGCACTCAGACCCATGACTCGTTTAGGCTATGATCAGATCAAAACTAATTTTTTTTATTTGAATGACTGAAGTTTGATTTAACAACAAATCGAAATACGAACAAAAAGAAATAAAGAGATTTTCTAATAGGCTAATAATAATAATAATAATTCTGCCAAACAGAACGAAATAATAATAATAGTAATAATAATAATTATTATTATTATTGTCCTATTAGAACATCTCTTTATTTATTTTTTTCGTATTTGGATTTGCTGTTAAATCAAACTTCAGTCATTCAAATAAAGAAATATTAAGCCCAGAGTCGATTATTCAAAAATAACTGTTTTGATCTGATCATAGCCTAAACGAGTCATGGGTCTGAGTGCAGTTATTGGATGGCACTATATTGTAGACAGATTGGAGATTAATCCTAATAAGTATGTAGCTACAATAAAAACCATTACATAAAAATACATTTAAAACCGTGTATTTCAATAATTTCAGCAGCGTTTAGATCCTTTATGTTAGACTTTGGCGACAGCAGCGCGGACAGTCGCTTAGCTCGTTCACATACAGCCATGGCCGGACTTACCATTGGGCTTGACTGGGCTGCAGCCCAGGGGCCCCGCCTTGTAGGGGGCCCCGCCTTAACCCGTTTACATTTGTTCAGTTATGTGCCAGTCAGAAATTATTAGTCGCATTTAAACAGCGCGCATGGGCCAGCCGGGGCTAACAACTTCCAGCTCCCAACTACGACATTCGAAGCCATAATCAAACAGCATAAAGACTGAATTTATTACATTTAAGAATCTGACATAAAAGGACACAGATATGACAATACATTTTCATAATAATACATCTCTTTGGTTTTTTCTGCTCAGTGTTATTTCAGGGTTTTGATCTCTCAACTGAGAGATCACATCCTGTTTATTGTATTATAGTGACTATTTAATATTACATCTAAACTTTGACTAGGCTAGACATGTTGCCTATTAATTGTATACAGTATATGAACCTGAAAGCATATTTAAATTTTTGTGTATTTTGTGTTACTCCATAATAGTGTTCTAGTTGAGGGCATTTGTAGTATAGGTATGGGGCCCAAACATAACCTCAAGCCCAGGGGCCCCCGGCCCCGTAAGTCCTGCCCTGCATACAGCCTACCATATATCCATAATAACGAGAAAACATCTCGTTATTACGAGAAAAGATGTCGTTTTAACGAAATATCATCTCGTTATTACGACATAATTGAGTGGGGAAAAAATAAGTGTGTGGCAGCAATAAATCACCGTAAATAAAAAATCTGAAAATAAAAATATAATATGGAATAAAATATCCCTATTAATAAAAAACTAATAAAAGGGATAGTTCATCCAAAAATTACTAATGAAAAAAGAAAATGAAAAAAAGAACAATTTCTTTCTAAAGCTATACTTTTTGTATCTATTTCATGCTTTTCTCAAGTAACACAATAATAGCTTTAAATTATCTTTTGTGGGTAATTTCTCTCTAACCATCAGTGGACTGGCACAAATGAAATGACCACTGACTGTTTTAAATCTCTTTTAAACTGTATATAAGTACCATAAAAGGGTTTGTTTTGGTATCAACATTTAATTTAATGGGTAAAAATTGTCAGTGCACTAAAATAAGGCCTGGCCAAAAGAACAGTGTAAACAATACCATAAGAAAAAAAAAGAGAACCCATTTAATGGCATCAAAATGATAGATATCTGCTTTATGTATCTTGTAACTTTTGATATCTTCCTTGCGGAGAACAGTTTCTGATATCTTCAAACAAGGGCAAAATAAATGGCCAGTCGCTACAAACACCCAAAGAAAAAAAATTAACAGCTGATATTTTGTTGTTAAAACAAAAAAAAAAATAGACATTTGTTAAGAAATTCAAATAGTTCAGGTGATGTCATTTTTAGTTCATCCTGTCCATTCCAGTTTGATGCTGTATCCAGTGTTAATGCTGTTTTAGATGTTGGTGCAGAGTTTAAGGGATGTGCTGTTGTTTTTAAAGCCCACCACTTCTTGTCCACAAACTCTATGGCTCTTTTCACTCAAGACTTTTGTGGATTGGAGCAAAAAGTTAGACCACTGACTGTTTTAAATCTGTAAATATATAAAAGTAACAGTTTAGCATGAAAATACAACATAATATATACATGTTTATTTAAAAAAATGAGTACCATAAAAGGGTATGTTTTGATTTTAAAATGTTATTGGTAAAAACTAATATATACAGTATA